ACACACACACACAAATTAAATATTCCCTAAGGCACATTTGAAATATGAAACAACAAAACAAAACGAAAACAAAACAAAACGAAAACAAAGGACTGAATGAATTCAAGAAACAAAACAGAACAAACAAAAGTTCGGAGTTTCCAAATTTGAAAATAAAACATGCACCAAACGCGAGCGATGGTAGGACCAAACATTTGAAATCAGATACGCCATGCTCTCATGAAAGTTCTAGACCTATAATAATTTCACTTCTTGAGCACCAAAAATGCGTTCTAACTCTTCCAGTACATAATGTCCACGTTATGTCTGACTTTCCTCAGGACAGACTTGTGGAATCGATCTGGCTATCGTTCAGTTGTCATACTTTTCTTGTTAAAAAAACACAACAAAGAAAAACCAAGCTATTTTGTTGAAAGGCTTTAGGGAATAGATTGAAAAGGAAACGATCGGATATCAGTTGCCTGTAAGTATTTTTTCAGTAACGTGTTACATTTATAACTAGTCAAGCCAACTAACTGAACAAACAATGAAAAACTGAAGGCAGAAGCCACACAGTAACATATGACGTCACTGCCGGCGAAGATGTACACACAACTTAGGCACGTAAACCACAAGAGATTAAACGCCACGAACGCGGTCACGGAGATGCAGCGCAGACGTCTCAGGTCACGTGACAGCTCCTGGGGGGACTCTCCCACGTTGACGTCATTTCCGATGTAGAGTTTGCGCAGCTGGATCCAGAAGTTGTTCTCTTCTGACGAGTGCGCGAACTCTCCGAGATGTTGCAGGCCCGTGATCGGTGTGTCCATTTCTGAGAGCAAAAAGGAGGAGGGATATTATTCAAGACTGTATCCTTGGGAAAGGCACTTTACACGAATTTTCTTCTCTCCACCCAGGTGGAAATGGGTACCCGGCCATAGACAGCGAAATATCTTGTCAGTTTGTTAGTGTTCTAGAGCCTATTTAATGTCTGTTAGCACTGTATGCTTCCCAGGAAGTTGAGGTTGTTTCAGAATGCTCTCAGATCTGCTGGGGTAATAGTATAGAATGTGAAGCGCATAGAGCTCGCTGTTGAGCGGGGATATGCGCTATATAAATGCTGTCTATTATTATATATTATTGTATTATTATCCAATATACAATGCATGCAAAATAAGGTGTCTCGGCAAGACCACCAACGTCACTTGAAGAGGCCGCATAAGAAACGAAACCATGCCTCTACAACCTGGAATGCCACCAGTAATAATA